GGTTGGACGATTTGTGGCTGCTTTTCTCAACTACGTGCTCAAGCCCAGGTGGATTCTGATGGGCCTCTACACGGGCTTCGTTACTTGTCTGGCTCTGAGTATGCATTTGAAAGGAGATGTTGCTGCTGCGGTTGGAATCCTCACATTTTTCTTCGAGGCTGGCATTTTCTCCATCATCTTCGCCATCGGTATGCGTGGGCTTGGCAGGCATACGAAGATCGGGTCTGCATTCATGACGGCTGCAATATCTGGTGGAGCAGTCTTCCCACCAGTTCAGTGGGCGGTTGCAAACTTCCCCGACCTGAGGTATTCATACTGTATCCCGCTGGCAGTTTCTGTATTTGGGATGGTGTTTGCGATCTACCTGAATACGGTTCCACAGGCGAGGATGCAAGTTGATCCAGTCCACGGAAGTCGGGCCAAATGGCGCGCAGAAAGCGCAACGCAGCACAAGAGCCCGGGCACCGTTGAAGACGAGAAGCTACAACAATTTGGGTTGCCAGGGATCATCGCACGGCGGAAACGGAAGCAGCAGTCCGAGTCGCCATCTGTGGAGCACATCGAACGGCGAAGTATGAACCTGGAAGAGACGCCAAACTCTCCAGTCCTTTCAATGGATTTCGCGGATGAGCAGAACTGCTTCCCGAGACCCATGCCTGTCGAAACGAAACAGTTGAGGGGTCATGTTGCAGAACTGGCTCTGTGGCCCGTGGGAGAAGACGCATCCCAGTCTACTGCCAGGAGTAGCGCTAGTGGTAAGCTGGATGTCGGCGAGTGCAGAAACATGAGCTCTGGAATCACAGGCAACGTGAAGCATGATGATTCAGGTGTGGCCAGTCGTCGACACCGGCCACCCTGGGAAGAGCAAGGTCAAGACGACGACGACGACGACGACGACGACTATCATGCAATCGTTCGGAAGATATGAAAAGGGGTCGCAGAGAGCTATGGTGGGTGTTGTGTATTTCGCAATGGCATTGTTTTGCTGCGTTCAAGCGATATTGATTGGCGAGCGCTTGTAGCTCGGTCTGGCTGTCCTGTACGAAGCACAAAATCTGTACATAAGCGTCAATACAAGCATTCTCTTCACTTGCGGTCAAACGTTTTCCCCAGACAACAACCGGCGAGGAAGCCAGACAAATTGAAAAAATACGACGTAACACAGTCTGACACAAAATACCCGCTCCTTCTAATATGGCCAAAGAGGGCTTGACAACGATGAGGCGGTCACACCATCAAACTCAGCCAACGGCGGAGGTGAAGGGCGGAGCACTTTTCAAAGCTAAACGGCATTGCCCATTATAATACCAATGCGGGCTACGTCCGTTCTCACAGCGAAGCATTTCTACCTTGCCGGCTCAGCTCCAGCATCGCCACCCAGGCTTTGCCCGATTGATGACTGGTGAACGAGTTCTCCAGTCAAGGGACGTCACCTCACTCGTCCCCCGAATTAACGCACATACAGTATGTGCAGTGTGGTGGTCTTTCTACAGCGCCACCCACCCCAAAACTGAGAAGCTGTATGGCGCGAGCAGCTGAATTGATTCGAGGCGCGCGGCGCAGGATATCTCACTCGACACGGCGCCCTTCACCTGAAGATTCAGACGCGAGAAGGTAGAGGGGACAAAGAAGACACTAGAGATGCATCAAGGGCATTTTGAATCGACCCACGTGACCTGACTTGCCTCGGACATGCGTTGGGGGTTACTTTGACGAGGCCAGCCTGTTTTGACGGGCGGCGTGACGGATTCTTCAATGAAAAGGTTCGCGATTTGGGTGTTCCTCCAAAGCGGGCTTCTCGGGGAGGAGAAATATCAAGTTAGCTTGTATCGATCAACTCAGCGTGCGGCGCAACGTGTTTGTTCGTCGCTCTGCCGTCTCACGTCGAATGCGTGGGATGTCGCTGGATTCCAGCAACATCGTTAAGCTATGCGCACAATAGTCCAAATGGACGCGCCGCAAAGAGGTACACCGTCATGGAGAGAGTTGTGTCTCGCATCACTTGTGTGACTTTTGATCCTCCTGCAGTTGGTAGGGATCACAGAGACGCAGGGAGTCCGCGAGCACATCGTTGTCGATCAACCAAAGGGCAATTGAAATTTCCACATCCATGTCTTCATCCCAACCGTGAGCGGTCCTCAAGATGTCAATGGTCTAGGCTCAATGGGATCCAAGGACCATGAGTCTAGCGCCAACCGTCGCTAAAACTGTCTGAAGAAGTCGAGTCTGATGCTCGTTCTGCAAGAAAGTCTTGCGTTCCATGATAGGAGCCAAAGCTCCCACGCAACAGTCACCGTGAGAAGCGAGAGATGTCTGAAGGCTCTGGACTTCTGCCGAAACCGAATCCAATGAGCTTGGGCGGTTGAAATCCCGGGGGTTCGAAGAAGGGTCTTTGTTACCGAATCGGAAAACTGGCGCAAACGGCGAGGGCCTGTGGGTTGAAGAGTCTGCAGCGCAATGGAAAAATGGCTCATCTCCTCTAGGGACCGGGGAACCAGCTACTCCTAGACGCACTCGAGCCGATCCAACTCGTGGTCTTGACAAAGAATGGAAATGCGCCGTGGCGTGAGAGCGGTGGGAGGATTGGGGCGTATTGTTGAGACTGCGTAGGATACAGAACAGCAACAACGATCCCACCAGAGTTAATATACCGAAGTGACATGTGCGTAGACAGCGACTCCATCGAGGTGCGTATTCTAGTCCATGACGGAGGCGTCTGAGCACAAGATTTGGCAATGGTTGAATGAACCGGAGTCCGCACGGGAAGACATGTACCTAGGGTACAACGAGTAAGATACCTAGGTAGGTATCCGTGCTGAAAATTGTGTTATCGTTCTAGACTCTGCGCACTGTTTTGGTTCGGAGACTGTGAGGTCCCGTCAGAAGTTAGATCAGATAGTCAGCACGTGGAAAATCCAGGTACTCGGTAGCTTTTGCATTTCTCAAACCTCAAACCCGGCTGGGCTTCGAGTCAATCAGTGCGCATAGGATTGGACGCGGGCTTTTCAACAGACCCGAGTTCAACCCGTCGAAACGGCAATTCAGAAAATTTTAGCTCGATGCCATGAGCAGCTGCAGGAACATGCGTCAGTGCTCAGAAATGCGGTTGACATTGTAGGAGTTGGCACTATGGAGTCCGGAAGCTGGTGGGGATGCCAGACGAGGATGGTGGCAGTACCTAGTACCTTGTACGAGGTAGACCCTAGGGAAATCCCGTGTGCACACAGTAGTTCCTCGCTGGGCAAAATGATGTTCTCTGCGCAAGTGGCAGCGGTTCCTGCATACCGGCAGTGAATACAGTGGCTATTCGCCGACCCGTCGATTTATCCATGCCTGTGCCGTTCCCACTCTTTCGCCTTCTTCAAGTCGCATTGAATGAATTTTTTCTTCTTTTTCGGATGCGGATGGCGCTCCGTAGGATGTAGAACGCCCTTAGCGAATCGACGATCGGCTAAAAAGGTCAGGAAACGATAGAGGCTCGTCCCGGCACATTACACATTGGGAACAGGAAGAGGCCGCGTGGCAGCAGTCTGCTGGCTGGCGACGTGGACGCATCTCCTTTCGAGTTGCAGGACGAGGACGTACTTAAGGAGGACAAAGACAGGTCTTGATGTGCCGGTTTGAAACACGTTTGCTGGCTGGAGGATAGATTGATGATTGCCCATCAGCCCAGGGGTAACCACTGCCTTTTTTTCGGGGGGGGGGGGGAGGGGCAGAGTCTGACAAGCTTGACAAGCGAGAGAAGATCAAAGCGGCAAAGAGGTCAGGTACAAAGCACAAGGCACACGCACACACCAGGAACAAGGCGAAGATGTGGTCACGGCTTGGCCTGTTGGGGACTAGGCCCGGCTGTTCCTGAAGACACGTTTTCGGCCAGCAAATCGGGGCATGTCATTGCGCCCAGTTAGGTGCAGACGAGCCCATACGCGGCCGGGGGTGCCCCTGCGTTCTCGCTGGGCGTCCCTGAGTCTCAGCCGAGGGGGGTGAGGGTCTGGCTGGTGGGCGTTTCGATGGGGCGCCACCTACGAGAGCGCAAAAAATATTGCGTTGGAAAACAGAGGCACAGTGGGTCGCTGGGGCTAGTCCCTGCTCCTGGTTGTCTCTGGGAAATTCGCACAACAGCCTCCAGTACTATCCACATCCAGCACATACTACCTACCTACGGAGTATGGCCTACGAGGTGCAGGCTGCGAACTCTGGCTTGAAGCCCTATGCGCCCTCTCAATGCCACCCAATGCCACTCACTCCTCCCCTGTATCAAAGTGGCACCTTGACAGCAACCGCAGTCCTCATCACGGCCCACGACCCACGACGTGCGACCCACGACCTCGGCGACCAGCGAACAAACAAAGCAATGCAAGGAGATGGGGAAAAAAGACCATCAAGAGCTTGCAGACGGGCAGATGAGGGGATGGCCAATAACCGCACACGACTGATCCTCATCCCTGGCGCTCCCTGTGGTGCCTGATGGGGAATCTTGCAAAAGTCTGGGTCCGATGCACGGTGACGACCACCTCGACTTTGTTGAACGAACAAAACCCCTTCACTCTCTTTTCTCTCCTTCACGCTCGCTTTTTCTTTCTTGCTCCAGAAGAGGATTCGCAGTCGCCAACAAAAAAATCTCTTCCTCGTCCTCCCCACCGTCACTCATTTGTTCTTTATCTACCCAGTCCCTCCTTTGTTCCCTCACCCCGGACCTGGAAATATCATTCCCTTCTTTCAGTCCTTCTGAACCACCTCTCCTTTGAGCCATTGACTCGCGGGCTAGTCCCTCCTCAATATCAGTCCTTTTCTTCCCTGACACAGGCTTGTCGTCGACCGACAGTATCATTCCCGGCGCTCAAACACTCCTTTAGAGAGACCAAGCCATCAAGGCCTTCCTCGAGAGTCGTCCAGATACTGCTCTTCTCACTAGCGCTCTTCCAAGGCACTCGTATTCCCCGCTGTCGAGCCAGATCTCCAGTCAATTCATATCAACTTCGAAACATTCTTCTGTCGCAATGGCCGGCCTCAAGAACATCGTCCTAGCGACCTCGCTGCTGACTTCTTTGGTCGCGGCTGTTCCCATGCTTGACAAGCGCGCCATCTACACCAACACGGTGACCGAGATTGCATGGGTGACGGTCGAAGAAACCACCACCATCTGGGTTGACCCCTCCGATCCCACTCCGGCTCCTGCCCCTGCCGTTAGCACTACCAGTTCCGTGCCAGCAGCAGTCTTCGCCGCAGCCACTTATACTCCATCCACTCTGGCGACAGCTGCTATTGTTCCTGTCGAGGCTCCGTCGTCCTCTTCTGCCGCCCCTGTCGCTCCTTCTCCAGCTACTTCTTCCTCCGCAGTTGCACCTTCCGCTCCAGCTTCCTCTCCTCCTGCTGCTCCTTCCTCTGCTCCTGCCCCGTCCATGGTCAATGTCCAACCTAAGGATACGGTCGGGACTGATGGTACTTGCGAGGGTTCGGGAGATGCGTGCCAGGGTGATGTCACCCACTGGGATGGTGGTAAGTGGTGCTCACTATCGGCTTGATGTTGAAACTTGGCTAACTTGTCTCTCCAGGTCTTGGCGCGTGCGGCTGGAACGTCAATACCAACAGCGATATGCAGATTGCACTCCCTTACGCATTCATGGGGACTCAGTCCAACGGGAACCCATACTGCGGTCGCTCGGTCACCCTGTACAACCCCACCTCGGGCACCACCGTCCAGGCTACCGTGGGTGACAAGTGCATGGGCTGCCTTGATCGGGCTATTGACTGCACCGACGCTCTGTTCAACGCCATTACCGATGGCACAGGTGATGGCCGTGTGAGCGGTATCCAATGGTGGTTGAACTAAGTTTCATCCATCATGCCTCTCTTTTACCGGGTGCCGACACACCGAACGCTTGCACCAGTTTGAGAGACTTTTGACAAGTCGACAACCAACATCCACAATCAAAGCGCTTCCGGGAAGCTTTTTGTCAGAAAATTAGCCCCTGCGAAACTGCTCTGGGCACACTATTTTAAGTTTCCAGCATGACGAGATTGTAACGAGAATTATGACCGAAGAACCAAAAAATGCATATGGCCGAACCCCAAAGCGAGGCGGCCACGGTGCAAAAGGCGAAAATTGGAAACATCTTTTTTCTTCTTGCTTACCGCCATATTGATCTTTCCATCGTCATGGCTTGCCGTTTAGGGGGATTTTAGGCGCTCTGTTGGTTATAGATTCTAGAGAAAAAGGTACATACCATAGGGGTTTCAATGAGGCAGCAAATGCCTACGGAGCTGATCCAATGCAAGAATTTGCACCATGATTTCTGTCTGTCGATATGCCGGCTCCTTGGACTTGGTGGGACCGAGTAATCAGTGGTGTGTGTGTGTGTGTGTCCTTGTTTCTTCACGACAGAACTGTCCGTGATATAAAAGAGAAGGAGAGAGATTAGGGCTGGGGTTGAGGTTCAACCCAAGCTTTTTGGGATCTGCAACGCTCATCGCCGCACGATGATCGGATAAACTCACTTCCAAGGCTGCCAACCTGCCACTTTCTTCGACCACTGGACATGTATGTGGTAAACAATAGTAATTTGAGCCGAAATGTTCGTACATCATGCGAGAGGGGTCAATCATCTGCCCACCTAATGTGCCTAAGCATGTCGACGATATCACAGCCTTGCAAGGAAAGAAAAGAAGAAAAAAAGGAAAACCGAATCGTAGGATAAAGAGGGGCCTGTTCCTGTGCACCCTGCATTATCACTTCCGAGCTACTGCCACTATGCTGCATTATCAACATCTTTTCCCTCATTCCAAGTGGGCTTTGCATACGACCGTATCCGGATCTAGCAGCTCGTCACATTCTGAGCTGTAAGCCAGTGTTTCATGGGGATTCTGGTCACCACATAAAGCTCTTTTTGAGTTCTGCCTACACGAGAGATGCTCTATGTAAAAGGAGTACGTATTCCATTGCCCTCTTCAGCGAACTTCCTATCCATCGTCAAGAGAAACGGGATTTGAATCACCAAAGGAACGCCGCACGACTGCACGAACTCACCTTCATTTTGGCGGTGAAGGCCTCTTCTCTCCCAGAACAACGCGATTTGCGTGGATTCTCGCTTCGATCAGAGGAGCATCACAAATCACCAGGCTCTTCACAGCATCAGCCACAACGGACAACTCTGGCATACAATCCAAGACAACCAACGAACCAATCATGCATCTCGTCCTCTCGCGCCTTGAGCCGCGAGACCTCGACGCCATAGTCCCCATGATGTTCGAGTCATTCCGCAAGATCGACCTGGCCAATGTTTTCTTTGGAAGAAAGTCACCTGCCAGTTACGCATACTCCAAGAGGACGCTCCTCAACGGCTTGCAGAATGACCCGGCAGACGCGTTTCTCAAAATCGAGGACCTCGATGCCGAAGTCGACGTGAATGTGCTTGACGAGCATGGTAATGCAATTGCCACGGAGCGCAGGAAAAGAATCGTGTGTGCGAGTAATTGGAAGATCTACCCGACCTACGTGATGCCCAAGGAGGAACAAGACACAGTCAAGAAGACCGACAGCCAAACGAATGGTGAGACCGAGACAGCCAGGAAAGAAGAGGCAAAGAAAGAGCCTGCCTTCTCTTACCTCGAAACCGAGCAGGAACGGGCTGATGCCGCCTTTCTAATGGAGGACTTCCTGACTCGTCGCCGGCGCGAATGCACCGAAGGTCACGTCCTCTGCTTCCTGCTCTTCACAGACCCAGACTATCAGGGTCAAGGCTGCGGACGCATGATGATGCAATGGGGAAATGATGTCGCTGATGCGCTGATGCTGCCATGTTGGATTGAAGCTTCTCCTGAAGGCGAACTGCTGTACAAGCAAGTGGGATATGAGGGAAGAGAGAGGGTGAGGATCCAGACCCCGAGCTTCTTGAGCGAGTATCTACACATGCGAAGGCCGGCGATGGTAGAGCGGATCAGGCTGGAAGGGAAAAAGACTTTGGTCAGGGAGCCGATAGAAAAGATGGTCAATGGGGGCGCATGAATTCGTGTGCCTTTCGCGTATTGATCTCTACTCGGTAGAACTCGCAGTATCTCTTATACACAGGTTGTGTCGCCTGATATGTTTTGTATGTTTTTGTTGAGAGTAGAGAAAATTTCTTGCGGCCCTAAAAACATGTGCTTCGTACGTCATTGCTTCCCCCAACTCTGGTGACTCCGCAAATTTCTCGTTCTTTGCCATCGTGTGACCGGTGATTCTATCCCCCGAAATCTGGTGACCATATGGGTCAAGGGTTCAAGCGATCAATCATTCTTGGTCCTGGGCTCGATGCCCCATCTTCTATCGTAGAGATTTAGACGCCGCCTCGAAGAACAGACAGCATCCTGCGGTCCATGTCGGTACAGTAGCCCTCAAATAGATCGCTCATGCGAATCAACAACAGCCCCCTCGCCTCCCTCAGAGGCCGTGCCACCTGGACGTGTCCTCGCTGCAAGAACCTACAGACGCCATTCGACAAGCCACGAAGGGGTTTCGACTCCCATCGAAGACCGGCCAAGGTGGTGAGGCCGCGTCAGGCCGTGTACTGGGCGGCGGCAGGTGGATCTGCAGGTGCAAGTCTGTTGTTGTTTGGAGATGATATCAAGCATGGCTGGCTCGCCGCAGAGAGGACCGGAAGGGTGATTTCTACGCTGGCAGTGTGTATAAATGAGTATGGCGCCTCCTGTCTTCCCAGACAGCTCGGAGAAGAAAGACTGACAAGGATCAGCTACCGCGTCACACTCAACGAACAGCACGATGACCCCGAAGAGCACACCAAAAGTCTCAAAGCTTGCCACAAACGATGCGCCGACCGAACGCTGAAGGCCATGGAGGCCAATGGTTCGATATTCATAAAGCTTGGCCAACACATCTCGTCGATGGGATATCTGCTGCCTACCGAATATACCGAGACCTTCGTCCCGCTGCAGGACAAATGCCCCGTCTCATCCTACGAGTCGATCGAAGAGATGTATCTGAGAGACACGGGCCACCGAATAGAGGACCACTTTGACGACTTCTCGAGAGAACCAATTGGTGCCGCCTCATTGGCGCAGGTGCACCTGGCCATATTGAAGGACACCGGTCAGACGGTGGCGGTTAAGGTGCAACATCCCAGTCTCGAAGAATGGGTGCCCCTGGATCTGGCCTTGACGAGATTCACCTTCCGCACATTGAAGAGGGCGTTTCCCGACTACGATCTGGAATGGTTGAGTAATGAGATGGACTTCTCCCTGCCGCAAGAGTTGGATTTTAGGCTCGAGGGACAAAATGCGATGTACGCGAAGCAGTATTTCCAACGAAATACCCGGTTTCCCCTCGTTATCCCTCAAGTGATATCGGCCAACAAAAGAATTCTGGTCATGGAATATGTCATGGGAGCAAGGGTGGATAACTTACCCTACTTCAAAGTGCACAACATCTCGCGGGCCGAAGTGTCGGCGACGTTAGCGAGGATCTTCAATGTCATGATCTTTTCGAGAGGCGCGCCGTTGCATTGCGATCCGCACGCCGGAAATATTGCAATTCGCCACAATCCCAAGAGGAGGTATCCCTATAATTTCGACGTCATTCTCTATGACCACGGCTTATATCGAATGCCAGATGACAAGTTGAGAAGGGACTATGCAAAGCTTTGGCTTGCTGTGATCGATGCAGATGAGGAGAAGATGCGGAAATACGCCTACGAGGTTGCCGGGATCGGGGACAAAGAATTTCCCTTGTTCGCCTCCGCCATCACAGGCCGGGACTACCGGGTCCTGACTCGCAAGGAGATTACCACTTCGATGCGAGACGACCTTGAAAAGGAAGCCATCGGCGAGGTCTTTGGGGAAGATCTGCTTGCGCAACTTGTCCAACTTCTGGGTCATGTACCTCGCATTATCCTTCTGATACTGAAGACAAATGACCTCACAAGGAGTCTGGATGAGGCACTGGGTTCGACCCAGCCGATGAGGCCAATGCTCATTTTGGCCAAGTACGCGAGTTGGACTGTCTGGCAGGATGAAAAGGATATGATTCGGCGGAGGGGTAGTTTCTTCCGTCCGCACAATTTCTGGAAGCTTTTACGTGCCTGGCTGAACTTCATGAGGGTCGAGCTGAAGTTGTTCGGGTATGAGCGGTACTTGTCTCTACGGCGACACTTCGGTCTAGATGAGTGAGTGAGTTCACTTGGGCAAACGGATGTACTGGGTAGGGGAGGACTCGGTCAGGCTGTCGGCTGATTGATGTTAGCGAGGCGCTGGATAGCGTTAGTAGGAGGAAAGGGAAGTATAAATACCAAGAGTGGCCATGGTTTAATCAGCCTTGTCAAATATACAATATACGGGCGCCCAGCCTTGCGCAGCCTTGCCATGTGGTCAGCGGGGATCCTGATTGGCCAGTCACGCTCTTGCCGTAAGGCTCGTGTCGTTCCTGCTTCGACTCTGTCGTGAGATTCAAACATCATCGCAACTTCTGCCTCGCCTTCTGTCACTCTGTCAACACCTTCCTTCTTCCTTTTCCTTCCTCTACGACTTACAACCGCAGATCTGCATTATGGTAATCCTCAGCATCCAATCTTGCCCACTTGATACGGAAGCGAGCAGGAGTCATTTTCTCAGAATTTGCATTTCATAGCCATAACGACACATTCGACGCATCTACTCCGGTCACCATTACTACTAGCCTCGCTCTCTTTCTGCTTGGAGCTGTCGTCTTTCGTTCTACCCGTACCCCTTGTATTCCATCACCATGATCAATTTAGGCCTTCAACGGATCACCCAGTTGCTCAATCCCCTTTTCAGTACACATCCGACCCTTCCCTGGAAAGCAGTCCACATCGCCGGGACTAATGGCAAAGGCAGTGTCGCAGCTATGGTCTCTACTTTCCTCGGCCACTTGGGCTACAAGGTTGGGCGATTTACCTCGCCCCACCTCATCGATCGATGGGACGGCATTACCCTGAACAAAGTTGTTGTCGAGCCAGACAGATTCCTCCGTGTCGAGCAAGACTTCCGCCAACGGAGCATTGATGAAGACATCAACGCGTCGGAATTCGAGATTCTCACGGCCACGGCTTTCCAGCTATTCACGGACGAAGAGGTAGATGTTGCTGTCATTGAATGTGGACTTGGCGGCCGTCTTGACGCCACCAATGTGTTGAGACCCAAGGATGTGGTGGTCAGCGTCTTAACCAAGGTTGGGCTAGATCATACTGATTTCTTGGGCGACTCGCTCGAGGCCATTACAAGGGAAAAAGTGGGAATCTTTAAGCTGGGGGTGCCTGTCGTGCTTGACCAGACCAATCAGAGAAGCGTCATCGATGTGGCTGAAAACCGGTTGAAAGAGCTGGGTTGGGGAGAAAATGGGGCAGAAGGTGTTTACGTTTCTGTCGAGGAAAGAAGGCATGAATTTGACGAGGCCATCTGGGATATGGGTCTGTCAAAACATTCAGGTCAGAACCTGTATCTTGCCTACTCCTGTTTTCGAAAGGCAGAGGAGCGTCTCGCTGCTTTTTACGGAGACAGACCGCATCACGCCAGGAGGGAGCCTCCTCCCTCATCTGACTCACCTCGGCCAAATGCACAACCATCGGGAGATTCGCTTGTTGCTGCGGATGTAAGGCCCTCTGAAGCGGTGAGGGAATCTCTCGCAGTGCTGGTCGAACAAGCAGTAATGTCCCTCCCTGGACGCCTCCAATGGCTCACTCTCCCGCCGATATTGCTACCAGAGAATCTCCAAGATATGACGGCAAGGTTGCAAAACGACCGCATTGACGCGAAGGTCCTCCTTGACGGCGCGCACAATTCAATAGGAGCTGCAGCTTTGGCCGGCTACGTCAAGACACAGTTACGGCTCTCTAAGCCTGACCCCAGGACGAAGCCTCAGCCCAAGGACCCGCTGCCCGTCACATGGCTCTTGTCTGTCAAGAGCGACAAGAATGCTGATGAAATACTAGAGCGGCTGCTCCAACCTACTGATAATGTCGTGACGTGTTCTTTCGGCTCTGTCGACGGAATGCCGTGGGTGAAGAGCATGGGAGCCATTGAGCTAGCGGAGATCGCCAGGAGATACACGAGTGGAGTGGTTGAGGCTCTTTGTGACGAGTATGTTGAAACTCTTATCGGTCACGGTGATCAACCTACTCCGGATGAGAAGATGAGAATCATTATCAGGCAAGCGGTCAGTGTCGCCTCGAGAGCGTCGGAAGACGATTCGTCGTTGCGGCTGTGTATCACCGGGAGCTTATACCTGGTGGGCGACGTTTTGAGGTGTATCCAGAATTCGGGCGGGTCAATCACTGACGAGTGCCTCCCGCCAGTTTAGAAGCCTTGCAGGAGAGCTTATGGGATATTTCCCAAAAAAAGGAAGTATGCGGAGACAGAGGAATAACACCACACGTACGAATAAGAGACATTTGCAGAGGGTCGATTCCTTCACGGATGGAAAGGCACCCATGGCCGGATATGAGCTTGACCAACTTCACAAAGAGCTTCACATACGTTTAGCAACAAGAGGATTTACTAGTGGGGAGGCATATGGGATGCTTGAGTCAGATTCCAGATTTATCTTCTCACCAAGCTTAGCAAGTGGATGCGGTCCAAGCAACCCTAATACAGGGGAATGCCACCATGTTTATACAACGGCAGCCTCGCCCTTGCTCATTCCGGCCACTTCCTTGCCATCGCTGGCACCGATTCCGCCCGTCCCAGCAGGCCTAACCATGACAACCTGACAATACCACCCTTCTCCCCTCCTTCCACCGTCCTGCTTCAATCTCTGCTCCGAAAATTCAACTCCTCTATCCCCTCCATTTTCCCACCGTTGGAGATCAGCCCATATCTCCGCTCCTCCCTGTTCGTCTCTTTCTTCATTGGCGTTGAATCTCCGAAATCCCACAGACTGGTAGACTCCGATACCCTTGGGTGACGCTTCAAGCATGCTGGGCCACCCCCGGCGGTCTGCCTCTTCGCATGCAAGACGCATGAGCATCCCGCCTGCGCCGCGACGGTGGTGGTTGGGGTCGGTGTACAGGTTGTCTACGAGCACGTGGGAGCCGAGGGCACAGCTGAGACGCGTGCGTGAGCGGACGAGATGCGACCAGGTGTCCGAAGCGAGCGCCGCGTGCGAGTAGGGTGGCCATGATCGTTCAGCGTTTGAGGAAGAGGATGTCGGCTTTGGTTCTGCTGTGCTAGTGGTGGCAGAGGACGGAGGGAAGAGATCGGTGTCGATGAAGTAATACTTGATCGCGGCGATGACTTTGCCCTTGGGCGTCGTCGTTGGCGTCCCTTGTCCTTGAGCATCCCCATCATCCTCCGTCGTTCTCTCCACAACCTCCTCGTCAGCTGGCAACGCATCGTCCAAGACCACGGCAAACCGACAATTTTTTTCTTCGCGAAACGCCCGCGAATGCCGCTCCAGAATCGACGCGAGATAGCCCGGATAGGCGTCAGGCGGGCCATAGTAGATGGCCCGCATGAGCGGAACGGTCAGCCATGCTGCGAGATGGACCCGCGCGATGGCCGGCAGGTAAAGGTGGTCGACCGGGTTGGAGGGCGAGAGTTGATGGACGTGGAGGGTCATGGTGGCCGCCTGTGGGATAGGTGCTGCCGGCCAGGGGTGGAGGATATATGATGAACCTTTAGGTATCGTTGATTGTCGAAAGTTTTCAACCGTGCTCCCTTTTACCTCGCTAGATACCTACCCACCTATATATCTATGGTATTCCTGTTCTGGCTCTCGTAAAGGGCAGGTGTTTTTGTGGATGGAATCACGTAGTAAATCTATACCACCCTGGTCTATATGTGTGTATCTATATGCGTAGTGAGTAGGTGAGTAAGTGAGTGAGTCATAGTACTATCCCCCCTTGTTCAGCGGATTTGAGCGGTTCTGTGTACTGACTACTACCCAGTAGTACATAATACTCCGTACAAGGCATTTGGCCGCCCGATCAAATCGAGGTATTACATAGTTGGTTAGTCGGTAGCCCAGTCCAGCGGGGGAAATGTACCCGGTTACGCGCGTGCGTGCGTGTGGGGAAAAGACTCGCGTGTTGTGGAAATGGGACCCCTGACATTTCTGAGACTAGTAGACCAGAGATGGAGGGGAGGGAGGGTGGAGGAGTCGTAGGACATGTTAGGAGCTTTGAATAGAGCCGCGGCGCTCGATAGATGGGGGAGGAGGGGAATATATATCTCGACATATGATATATCACCTATAGTAGACGCTACGGACTAAGCTCTATGATATAGATAGATTTTCCGCATAATTGCACTATTATACTGATTGATTCGTCGGCGCGCCGGTTAGTCAACCCTACCCTTCCCCCATCTTTTTCTCCCCCCCCCCTCTTATGCTCCTGCTCTGATCTTCTGGCTATGTGGATAGACGATGAACTAAAAAGTGGAGGCGAGAGGACTCGGCGGCGCATGGAATGTGGAACAGAGCTGAGAAAGAGAGTAGAGTAATGGAGGGACTTAATGGAAGTATCAGGTAATAGCCTTTTTGCTGGGTTTGCTCTCTGAGCCCTGAGCCTGATGCCCCAGCCTGAGCCCCGGGCTGAACTTGGTTTTGAGAGTCCTATGTATCAGGATGAATGTACATACCTCGCTCGAAGATGAGACTTGGGGAGAGAGTGATGGAGAGAGGAATGCGCCATTTAGCACTGTACAGTATCGTGCCATGCCGTGCCATGTCATGTAATACTATACTGGGCCATGTGGTCCTGTGCCATACCGTGCGATGCGATATCATCTTCCTTCTCTTCACTCCCTTCCTTTCGACCTGGTGTTATGTTCGATCGTGCTCGCGCACATAATTGTGCATCACTCACGGTCGTGATTGATGTGGAGCTTGCCGCGGTCTCCGTGGCGGCTCCCGCGACGTGTTAGAGGTCTGCCACCTCTGCAAACTTCGCAGTGTCTTCTTGTCTGCACCGTAGAGGTAATACCCTCTCAGACAGGCCGTGAGTCTCTCCAGGTTCTTCTTCTCTCCTTCTCCTCCACCATCATCATCGTAGTCCTTCTCCATCCACTCGATCAAATGCCCCATGAACGGGATCTCGAGACGCCACGGGCTGAAGCTCGACGCCGACCCGATCGCCACCATGGTCCACAGCGTGACTTCGCGCTCAGTGACTAAATTGGGATCGTTTGGATTGCTGGGCTGGGACAGCTCGAGCGCCACGTTCGATAGGATCTCCAGATAGGGATGGCGGATCTTGGCGATCGTCGTGCTGGAGGATGAAGAGGAAGGGGATGACAATGACGACGATGACGATGACGGTGACGAAAACGGTGGCTTTGCCGGAGGCAGCAGTTGTGGTTGATTGTGGAAATTGAAGATGTAGATTAGCAAGGCGAGGAAGAGCCGATGATGCAGTGATTGCGGTCTGACTTCGTCAGTGATGCGGAGGACTCGACTGATTTCATTGAAGGCTTGATCGACGGGTCGAGGCGGGTGCGAGCTGCTGTCGTTTTCCTCGTCCTCGCCGAAGCCCCCGCGTTGCCTGCCACTCCGAACGAACTGCGGCTCCCTCGAGACTTGCTTGAATATCCGTTGCAGTATCTCGACCGTCTGCGTTGTGATGAGACCCTTACCGGCGATCACCGAGAAGAGTCCCTGGAATCCTCCCACCTGGGTTGACTTGACGGGGTCGTCCTCTTTGAACCTGACCAGGACATTGTCGTCGGTGGTGAGCTCACACACGAACCTGCCATGCAGGAGAAGTGGCAAGAAGAACTCGCTTCTACAGACAGTTTTTGTTAGTCGGCGAACTTGCAGAAAGGCTTGAACAGAATCGCGGACTTTAACAGTTCGTCCTGGAGCTCGGCGCTCAGCTTCCTTATACCACCTCGGGTCAACACCATTCTCTCTTTCGCCCGCTTGTGCATGGCATAAGCATGTAGATCGCCGTGTGCCACCTGGACTGTCAGTGAATTGCATTCTACATCGTCGCCGAGGTACTTACGTCGACGTCCATCAACCACAAAGCGGTCAAGATGGCAGCATCATCGTCTGCACTCTCGGCCGTCTCCACTTTGTGCCTGAGCTGCTTCAATGCTTCGCCTCGGTGGTACAGCGCCGTCCAGTGGGTGTTGCCAAACCCTTTGACGTCGATGTTGTAGTATACTTGACTCAAGGCGATCAGAGCGTGGAACAACTCGGAGTTATGCATGGCCACATTGAACCAAATGAGATAGCGGCTGGTCTCGACGGCGAGTGCAGGGCTGAAACGGGGAGTGAGAAATCGAATGACTGCAGCGGGAGAGAGGCTGTCAGTGCTTGCCTTTTGCACACGAACCTCTGCAATGGTGCTCCAGGGTGTAGATGCAAAGGGGCAGACATGGTGGTGTCCAGGAATGCTCCAAGACAAAAAAGTTCTCCTTTCGATTGAGCATGAGCTGGGAACACCCACAATAATCTACCAGAAATGGTACATAGGGTGTATAGCTGATCGGGTAGGTTGTGAACGGGTCCGCCACAGGGGTCCCCAGCGTGCAATCATTCCAAGGCTGGACTCCACAAGGAGTTGAGGCTAGTGTGGCCTCTTCGGGGTTTGTCGATGCAGGTCCTTGCGTCCCAATCCGAGGTATCTTCATTTTCGTTTTGGGATCTGTGGGCGGCGGTGTCTCTCCATCGGACCGTCGCACAAACGGACGATAGTGCGTCCGCTCCAGGACAATGCGCTTGGAAGTTGGGCGGTAGCTTTTCGAGGCGAATGACGAAACAGCACGGCGGTTCTGTCTGCTCTTCAGTTCGGTGGGATTGTTGTATGTGATGAAAACGTTATGCCGGGACGCGGGAGACATCTGGTATTGGCCTCTTTGGGGCCTGCGTCGTCCTTGGGCCAGGAACAAACGTGCTGGGATAGAACTGAGGAGACAGGAGCTGGTCCGGATGGAAGAGTAGATTATCAATGCAATATTTGACCGGCCTGGTCTTGACACACGGCTGCCCCCATAACAGAGTGCTCAGGCCATGTGCTCGTTCCAGCGCAATGAGATGAGGGGGAGGCGGCGATTCGCATTGCTTCAGACCTTTCAAGCTTTAATATATGCAGAGGTGCTCAGCTCTTCCCCCAGTCTAGCTAAGCCTTACCAGTAGCAAGGATCAAACAAGCAGGAGATTGGTTCTTCCTGTCAGAATCTTTTAAAAGCTGAGAAAGGGTCCGCGGACTTCTGGCGAATCTTTTCCCCGCTCAGTGACGATCCATAGTGATCCACGAGTGACTGAAGCAGGGGAAGGAATGGGAGGCCCGAGTCAGGAGGAGAGTACCTTGTAGGAGCACTACTGTCGAGTGTGTTGCAGCGTCTCGCCGCCTCGCCGCCTCGGAATTTTGGGGCCGAAACTGGAGCAGCAGGAGAAATCACGTAAGCAGGCCGCATTATAAAATGGAGACCACAAGCACCGTGCCACCGCGACGGACTCGGATTCTGCCCTACGGAAGGAACTAATGGTGCTTACTCTGGTCCTTTTGATTATTACTTAATAGCACGTCCCAGGATTGGGGGAAACCCTGGACGAAGGGGACGTGACGAGAGAATGCAACTAAGTACAGATGGAAAACCTTAGGTCACAAGCATGACTTTTGGGACAATGGTGGTGATAAAGGCCGTAGTGTGATGACGATAGAATGGCGATGACCACATCCTCGTATATCAATCGCTCATGTCCAGTCCAGGAAACCCTTGAAATCTATCTCACTCATTCTTCCGCCCACCGTCTTTCTCGTAGCGGCATTTCATGCCCTTGTTGGACCCGACTGCCGTCGTCCTCCGCCCTCCAGGCATAGTATTCGCCCAGTCGGACCTCGGCGTACGAAGCATAGTCGAAATCGATCTCGGAAATGGTGGCCTGGATCAGAGCCCAAACGCCCCAGTAGAAGCCGGGCATGCCACGATATCGGTCAACCTCATCGCACAAAACATCCAGCATGTTGCTGGGGACCCGGGTGTCGCTGTGGACTTTGTACGACTTGAGGTAGTCTTGGAGAAATTGACGGCGCATGGATCGGGTTGGCAGCATGTTGTAATCACAATCATAGCCCCCCCATTCGGCAAAGTGGTTGGCAATATCGAACGCTGCAGGACAAGGTGTGGCATATTCGTAGTCAATAAACGACACCTGCCTCGAGCCACCCGCCTTACTACTGGCACTGTTCGTTGGCAGCATGATAACATTTGCACTTAACAGGTCGCAATGGCCAAAGACCAACCCCGACGAGCCGGGACCTCGCTCATTGTCCAGGTCCTTGAACGACCGATCTAGTTCTTTCTGGAGCAGCTCCTTGCGCGTCTCTTGTTTGGGAGTGTTGCAGGGAAGAGCATGGACCCATTTCTGCATTACTGACCAGATATTTGGTACAGGCCGCCTCGAAGCAAGACTACCACTCGGGTCACGGCCGTTGACGCCATTCGAGACATTCTTCTTCTTCTCCTCCTCCTCCTCCACCACCACCACCACGGCGGAGATGGGCAGACGCGCATGCCACTCACCTAAGCGCTTCGCAACCGCGCGCCAGATAGGTTCACTGATCAGGTCCCGAGGAGTGCAGACTTGACCAATGATGAATCTGTATAGGAGCCCGTTCTTGAATCTTGCCAACAGCGGAGGGGCCAATCCTCGTTCTGCACACAAAGCATGTGATCGGGCCTCTCGATCTCGGTCGATGATTATTTCAGTGTGGTTGCCATAGGCACGGAGGAGGATAGAGTCGCGGTCGATTTCGGCTTCAGAAAGGCCTGGGGTGTGTTTTGCAATCTTGAGCAGCTAGATAGCAGCCATGAGCATGGGGCACGTGCCTGGTAAGTGAAGCAGAATAACCCACAGTGTTTGTGATGCCATCGGTGAACTTGACAATTTCAATTTTGCCGGGACTGTCCCTCCACTTTGGCTGTATTCTATAGACCAAGGCACGAGCCGAGTCGTCCAAGGACTCGTTATCAAAGGCCAAATCAATATATTGAAGGTGTGGGAGGTGGCCGTTGGAGATTTCAATGGGGGAGTCCATGGCCGCGCATGGCCCGTTGAGCGAAAGGGGAGCAATCGAGAACAGACAGGAGCGACAAGTCGGCGGAATCGTCAAGGTACAGTAGACAGGACGCAGGACGGTAAAAGTTAGATGAAAACCAGCCTTTTAAGGACGATGGTCGCAACGGGCAAAGTTGGAGGTGCGTGTTTCTTGGTGTGTGTTGTGGGTGCGCACTAATGACATAGCTGTGCTCGGTAGTGGTAGCGCAGCGGCGCAGGGGCGGCAGTCGATTGCTCTCTCCGTACCGTCCGTATTTTCTTTTTTGGAGAAGCCGCGAAGCCTCGAACAAGCCAGGAACAAGGTCCAAGGCCGAGTGAGCCACATGCCACGCACCCTCCCTCCTCCCTCTCCTCCTCACCCTTGTCGACAAAGACCAACCATGATCCTGGACACCTACCAAGAGAAACTGCCCCTCCTTGACGCAAGCGGCACGGGAACAAACCAAACGGAATCTGCTGCTCTTGTTTGCCTTCTCACCTTGTTCTTTTGATCAGGAGATCCAGGAACAAACGACCTGTGATACGAGTTTCCCTTGGCTGTTGCAGATGAGCTTGCTTACATGGTCACGGCCGCGTCGAACTCAACAGGGCCCTTCTCTCTCCCAATCTTCCAATCTCGACGCTGGCAACAGCGTGGTGCCGGTAACTGATGATGGTGATTGGCTTCAATGCCAGCACTAAAAGAATGAGTCTTTTGGGGAAAGGCCGCGCCTCATCTTCGCTGCCTCTCTGGCTATCTTCCTCCCCACAGAGAGACATGTTTCCCATCCAATTGAAGTCGGATGATTGAGGAACTTGCCTCTGCTGGTCAGACGTCAAAAACCACATGCAGGGAGAGGCCAGAGGTGCAAAGTCGCTCTGTGAAACTCTGGGAGAGGATCCAAGTCTGCATTGACGGGAGATTGGACAGCTGCGCGGTTGCAATTGTCCAAGAATACCAGAAATTTCAAGACTGAGTCTATCGAACTGGCCATTCTGATATTGAACAGGGATCCCAGCCTCGCCGGGCAGGACCTCCGCATTTTATTTCGTCGTCTATTCCACTCACGCATGCTTCTCTTGACCACAGCGAATCCTTAATCCTAGGGTTTGCTCTTCCCTTTTTTGGCCTTCTTCCTCTCAATCTTGTTCGCATCGACATCCACACGCTCGGCATCATCACTGTATCCTTCAATAGCTGATTTTATCTTCCCCTTTCCTTTCCGGTCGTCACTGCTGCCACCAATCTTCTCGAGAATGATTTCGGAGCCTCTGTTCTCCCGGTCCAATTTCCCCATATTCCTTCTCAGCACATCCATTAGTTCTTCTTTCATCCCAAAATCCTCAGCCTCTGACATTGCCACGATAACGAAACTGTTCGGTCCATTTGCCCAGGCCACGATTTCTTCATCTCCGCCCTTCGATTTGATTTTCTGGAACAACAGCTCATCAAATTTCAAAGGCGGGTTGACCAATTGGATTGCATTCGTTGCTTTGTTGAACCGTCCGCCTTGCACGAGGGCCTTGAGCATGCGGCCTACCGCTGGCGTAGCAAGAATCTTTTCGTTCTCTTCTTGCTGCTCTTTCCCTTCAACCTCCTGGGTCGCCAAATCTGCGATTGAACCTAGTGCGGCCTGTACATCGCCTACGCTAGCACATCCAAACACAGTCTCCACAATGAACTGACATCCAAAAGTCGACTGCGCGAGATATCTCGCCCGAGCCGCAATCAGGTCGAGGAGGGGTTGCGCGATGTTCCTCAACAGTTCCATACGGCGCGTCTCCGGGTCCTTCTTTGATGTTTCTTTCCTGATCTCACGAACCTCTGAAAGGAGTGCGGCAGTTTCATTCGAAATGAGCCACTTCGGTGCATCAGGAGACATGAGATAAAGCAGGGGAATGCGCGCAGTAAGATTTTCCGCCTGCGCGAGCAACTCCTGCTCTCTTGCTTCAGCCTCAAGGTCCTTGCTGAGAAGTTCCGGAAATATTGCCTTCGACATCATCACCGTGTCGTCAATAACTTCGTACGCCGTTAACAGCACATTATGCCCATGTTGATCACCCGCGAGGAGTTTAATATGCGTCTTGAAAAACTTCAATATCCCCCTTCGATCCTTGGAGTTTCCATGGGACAAGCATAGACAGAGCAATCGAGAGCCAGACTTCGTAAAGGCGAGGTTCTTGTAGATATCTCCTTCCTCATCGTCGCGGAGCATGGAGAAGAACTCGGTAATTTCCGGGCTTCTCGGTTTGCAGTTCAAGAAGTATTGCAGAAGAGCGTCGTGGAGGATGGTGAAACCCGTGGTCTTCTTTTGAACGAGGTGGTTGGTCATTTCGTGCAGGTGAGACATGATGGGGCCTCTCTTTTCGGGGTGTTCAGCGAGGATATCGGAAACTTCAGCTGTGACCCGCTCGTCATTGGATGTCTTGTGCGTCTTTGTCTTGCCGAAGATGACAAACTCGGGCCCGTACCATTCTCGGAGCATGATGGCCCTTTGTTGCTTTGTCGCGATAGTCCTGTAAATGTCGTCCACAATCCAACTTGCTTCGGGATGGCGAATCAACCTCTTCACATGACCGTAGAATTCTTCGACGACGGCATCACGACTACCTTCATCGCCGACAACCATTTTCGCTATCAGGAACTTGGCATACTTCGACTCCGCCAGCTCTCTGTAACTGCCTTTTAACTCCGTTGTGATCTGCCTCCTTTGCTGCGGAGTCGCATATTTTAATGCACATTGGATGACCCGCACCGAATCATGTTTGAACACGAAATCTTTAACTCGCCCTGAAATGA